AAAAAAAAAAAAAAAAAGGAAAATTTTTAAATTTGGAACATAACGATTTTCCTTTTATTTTTTTTTGATATTATTATGCAATGACGTCATGTTGGGTTGAAAAAAAAAATTAATGATAATTTTAGTATTTGTTTAGATTAAATAGTTAGGCCCCCTTAAATCTCATCAAAAAAAAAAAATGAATAACGAGGGTTTTTTTTTTGTAAAATAAGAAAGGTAAAGAGGAATGCAAAAGACATGAGTGGCGAAAGGCCGCACCCCTCTTGCATTGATCTTCATTGTAAGTTTTTGAGTCCCTTGGGAGAGCGCAAGAGAAAGGGACCACCAAGCCTGCGCTTATAAAAAAAAAAAAAAATTTTCCGCGTGTGCATGATTCCATGGATAGTGCTGCACTATGTTTTCATCTCCCTTCCCTTCATCCTCTCCCCCTCTATCTCTATCTCTCTCCCACCCTTCTCCACCTGTATCTTTGGTTTTTTTTATTGATAATGACGACGTATAATAATATTTTTTCTCCACGATAATGGTAAATTTATTTAAAAATAATTTTTCTCCCTTAAAATAGTAAAAAAATTTTTTTTCCCCTCTTTTTGCAAAATGGGGTTACATCATTTATGCGACGATTATATAAAAAAATTAAAATTCTATTTAACCGGTTTGTTAACCGCCAAAATTTTCCTGCGTGCGCAAATAAAAAGAAAAACAAATTTTATTATTATTATTATTTCTTTTTCTTTGTATAAAAATATCGTCCCCCCCCCTCATCGTATCCGTCAATTTTAATAAATAAAATAAACCACGTATTTGTTTTCAAAAAAAAGAAAAGAAAAAATTCTAAATTCGAAGAATTTCGAAAAAAAAAAAAAAACGTTTTCTAAAAGGAAAAGCTGTAAATTATGTTAGTATAAAATAAAACAAAGGAAGTTAAGTGGGAAGTTGGAAAGTGAAGTTTTATATATATAAAAAAAATTTCTCACCATTTTAAGTTTTTGTGCGGTTTAAATTAAAATTTTACTCTCCTTTTTTTTTTTTTTATATATTTGAATTCTAAAGTGTATGTTATAATTTTACATTTTCAACCATATGGTACAACATGCCAGAGTAGAATTTTAAACAGAGAGAGAGAGAGAAAGAAAACCAAAAAAAGGTGAGAAAAGTCAAAGATGAATATCGAAGAAAAAAGAAAAAACTCTTTCTTCGATCCTTTTAAAAAAAAAAAAAAACGAATTCATGATAGTTTTAGATGTGATGCAATGTTAAAAAGTAATTGAGACTTAAAGAAAAAAAAAAAAGCTTTTTGGGTAAAAATCAATTTAAAAACAGAAATTTCCTTTTAAAAAAAAAGGTTGTCGATTATGACCCCTTTAATAAAATATTTTAAAACGTTTTTTTTTTTTTTTTTCGTAAGTGTGTGAGTGTGTGTTTGTTTAAAATGCTTTTATTAAAATTTAATTTCTTTATGAATATTTCAAATGTTGGTTTACTTGTAAATATATTTCTAATGTACAGTTTCGAACGGAAAATGTTGTAATCGTTAAGTATTTAAAAAAAAATTATAATAAAATGGCCCTCCCCCCCCCCGTGGAAAAAATAATTATGTGTCCTTTACCTGAATGTACTGATCTTCGTTTCGTAAATGTTCTGCAATAAACTCAACAGCTTCCGTCGCTTTCGAAGCTTCCGGTGATAACAGTAGCGAATCTGAACTTTCGCTTTCACGTCGTCCACCGCCTCCAATTTCAGTGCTTGATTTCCGATTAATTTTACAATTGGGATGATGAAGATCTGACAATTCCAAAACCTCGACTTTAGCACGAGGTTGGAAATGCTTTGGAAGCTCGCCGGGTGATCCGTAAGAATGAGGCGGAGCACTCATACCCGGCATTTCCATCATCCAACGCAATCTAGTCTTTTTCGGTCGTTTCATAAAAAGTATAGTCGGCAAATAATAGAGGAAGACGGCACGAATCCAAGGCGGCATTCGATGGGTTCGAGGCCCCCTGAAATTCCAGTTAATGATGATAACGGTCACCAATATTGATACGGTGTTCATAATAAACGTGAACAAAAGGTACTTTGCGATGAGCGGTAGGACGAGCGAGGTGGGCGGAAGAATTTTGGAAACAAGCAGGAGGAACACGACCAGCGAGAGCAAAATGCTGATTCCCAATGTCACTTTTTCACCTGCTTCTGCAGGGAGATAAAAAACGAGTACGCAAAGAAACGAAATAAGCACCGTTGGCAGTATCAAGTTCACCGTGTAAAAAAGTGTTTTTCGTCGAATTATTATATAAAATGTTATATCCGTTTCTGTGGGAGCACTGCCATTATATATATTGAGGTAGGCCGGCACTTCGATTATGTCCCACGTACCCGACTTCCAATAGTCGGACAAATCGACAAAGTTTTTGTTATTGTACAGCGCTAAGGACACTTGGTCTCCATTAAAAGTCCACGATCCAAACTTCATTATGCAAGTTTGTTGATCGAAGGGAAAATACGTCACATCAATCGTACATGAACTCTAAAAACGAAAAAATTTATCAAATTTTTATCAAATTAATTTAATTTTTCTTTTATTTAAAAGAAAATCGATAAATAATTATCTTACTTGATAAATGGCAGGAGGAACCCACAGCACTTCTCCATTTGGATAAATAAGTACATTTGATTTGTATCGTACCTCGTAATTTCCATCAGCACTATTAAAAAAAAAAAGAAAATTTTTAACCGACCATATGATAATTCCAACATTTTGTTTTTCCACCTAAAATTTTTTTTTAATAATTTATAACGCGATATTTTAAACAAAATTTTTTTTTACATTGTTTTTTTTTTTTTTTCATCAAACTAATTTAAACGTGTAATAATAAAATTTATTATTATAATTATTATATTTTATATATTATTATTATTATCATTAACAATATTCAAAAGTTTTAAAAAAAAAATTTTTCTTTTTTTTTTGGTATAAAAAAAAATCGTGTCGTAAATTTTTTAACAAAAAAAAAAAACCATATTGCGATCTTAAAACTTTATAATTACTTTTATTTACTGACTTAAAATGTAAAATAATAATAATAATAATAATAATTTAAATGCTACTAAATATTTTTATTTTTATTTTTCCAAAACAATAATTTAATTATTTAAAATATGCAACAAAAAATAAATAAATAAATAAATAGTATTATTGGTGGGGGGGGGGGAGTTTAAACAACAACAACTATCATTATTAAATAAACTTTAAAGTGGTTTTTGAATAATGATATAAAAAAGGGAGGGGAGGGGGGAGTAAAAAAAAAAAAGTTTAAACAGAAACAAATCAAGTTATACAGAGAATAAAATCAAGTATCTATCAAAATTTGGAATCATTTTTAAAATTAGATTAAAGAAGCTTTTTGTCTTAAAACTTGGTAAAACTTATTTTTTACTAATTGAATTGCCTTTCAAATTTCTCCCCATTATTATTATTATTATTACTATTATCATCATCATTATTAAATTCGACTTTGTATAAATATTTATATCGAAAAAGGTTAAATTTTATATAAAAGCCATTTTTTTAGTAATTACCTGACCAAAAAAAAATAAAAATCTCTTAAACGAGTGTTAATTTTTTTTTTTAAATTTAGATTACAGGTTAGATACCTGAATACCTCCTCCTTTTTATAAAGGGGGGCGGAGTGTTGTCTGACGTTTTTAAGGCGTGTAAGAAAAAATAATAGTTACTATTATTTCGATCATTCGGTTTCAATATTTTCTTTTAACAAGTCTGAAACTTTTTTGTTTTTATTCTAGAACATTCTAAAATTTTCTTATCTCGTTTTTATTAATTCTGAACAAAAAAAAAAAAAGTAAACAAAGGCTGAAGAATATTTAAGAAGTTTTAAAGGTAGGAATTTATTGGAGTTTGTGTCGGCGACACAAGTTGGTGAGTTAATTTTACTCTCTTTTGATAAATTGCCTGAGGGTTTGTTGTGTTAAATTGTTCAGACAAATTTTAATTTAAATTCGAGTCGGTATATATATATTTAAATCTTTGTACCTAACCTAGGATTTCATGAACCTTTTCGTAAAAAATTCCAACAGCGACGCGATCTTTGATATAAATTTTTTTTTTTTCCGTCGTACAGGAAAACAACTAACCGACATTTTTTTTTTTTTTTTTAAATTTCACTCTAGACGATAAACTTCCGCCATTTTATTTTTTTAGGCAATACGTAGGAAAAATTTTCAAAAATTATATTTTCAGTGACAAAAGTGAATCCGATTCGAATTCTATGGTCAAACCTCATCATGCGGAAATTTAAATTTTCAATAAATTGAAATTTCTCAAAATTACACAAGAGAAAACAAAATTTTATCAACAAAATTCTATTATTATTATTATTATTATTATTATTATTATTATAACTTCCTATCAGAAATCGTAAAATTCAATTTACGCCACGTTCCCGTTATAAACTCTAAGGATTTTATAGTTTTAAAACAGTGGCTTTTCTCCTTCCCCTCCTTTTTCCTCCCCCCTCAACAATTTTTTTTTTTTTTAAACATTAAGAACAATATTTAACGTTTTCTCTCAATTATTCTCGATCATTCGATTGCAACATTTATTTTAAGATTATAAAAATTGATTTAAAAAACTTTATTAATCTATGGAATCGTACTTTTCGAACGTTTTCATACTTCTACGTTTTTTTACTCTAAGACGAAAAACTGCAAAAAAAAATTCAAAGTGAAAAATTTATTTCCGAGATGGAAAAATTGTATTATTATTATTATTTTTACTTTTTTTAGTTAATAATAAGGTTAATAATTTTATTTAGGGTTAATAATAAGTAATTACGTTCGATGTGCATATAAAAAATTTTTTATTAACGTACGTACTTATTAAATAAAACTATATCCGGTTTCCAAACTTTATCCGGCGGCAGTCTAAGGACCCCAATGCCCCCGTAGTCAGCTTCATCCCACTGTAGTTGGTAATCGCTCCAGACCTAAACAAAATTTATTTTTCCTTTTAAATTTAAATTTAAATTAAATTTTTAATTAATAATTTTTATTTTTTGAGTCACTTACCAATCGAAGCCAAACGTTTGACTTCATTATTTGATTTTTTTCATTCTGTAAACAAAAAAACATAAGTAAATAAATAAATTTTTTGTTTAAGGAAAACACAAACGTAATTGAGAGTTCTGGAAAAATACGCAACGTAAATTAATAATAAAATTTAAAATCTTTTTAAAAAGGGCGTTAACGTATACAGTTTATTTATATTGTTACTCGTCGTCAATAATTACCAAAAAAGGTCAAAAGGTTATTATTTAATTTTAAAATTACGTAATACACGGGGTGCAAACGAACAATGATGCAAACAACAACAGTTTCGGGTAACAATAACGAATTAAATAACGATGAGAATTTTATTTTTTTAAAATTATAAATATTATTATTATTACTATTATTATTATTATTATTATTATTATTATTATTATTATAAATGTAATTTTTTTTAATTTTCGAGTGCCTTCATTATTACTTGAAACTTTATTAAATTCAAAAGAAGACTCGTTCGTTTTTAATTAAAAGTTTTGTTTAAATTTAAATCTTAAAAGTTACAAAGGAAAAAAAAATTGTTTTTTATTTTTATTTATTTATCATTATTATCATCATCATCATTATTATTATTATTATTTTTCAAGGGAATTTTTATTGGAAAGGATATAAAAATCAAATTTCTAATTTTTTGTTGCATTAAAAAAGGTTTAAAAAGGTAAAAAAAAAAAAAATGTTTTTAAAATGTAATTTGTAAGTAATCCTTTTCGGTCAATTTTTTTTCTAAACAACGGAAACTTTAATTATTATTATTATTA